AAATAATATTAATTCTAGAGGGACACTTAGTTTAACAAAACAAACTTATTTGGAAAAAGGTTTGAGAAACAGTTTGAAGGCATATTATGCAGGCATATTTCAAAATGCAATTCAGTTAAGCTGCTTTTCTGAGCTCCGAGGTGAAATAACTTGCCATCCGTATAGTACCCTCTTTTGTTTTAATAGGCATAAGCATAACGCAACGTTGCATAATCTACAATCTTGAAAGAAAAGTTTACATTTCACACGTTAATAAATCGGAAATCTACGAATAATAACGATAGTATTGAGATAACTTGCATTTAAATTTTACACATGGGAAGTTATTTTAGAGAGTAACAGTCAATACATTGTGATAGAACAATTGGCATATTATGAAATAATTATTCTAATGTGATTTATAAACATGCGTGTATTTTAAGAATTATAGAGTTGAAATTTTGAAGTCTGTATTTCCTCTAAGTCCCATCCGCCTAAAGATTGATGTGGAGAAAACGAAACCAATTACAGAACAAGCGCTTCCTCTATATTTTCATTCTGATGTCCCTTGAAATTGATTGAAGAATTATCGCAGATTACAAAGGGTGTTTACTCAATGGTTTAGAAAGATAGACTTATATTCCATTTTAGGAGTTTTAAATCGAATTTTCGAATTTATTTTGAACATTTAATTGTAGACGGTATGTCTTTATTGATTAAATAGCCGAGAGAGACATACCGTCTACTCAATATCTCATAATTTTTTGTGAGCGACTGTTAATAATTCAGCACTAAAATTGATTAAAGGTTAATCTTTACCATCATGATAATTGATTAGATACAGAAAAAAAAAATATATATATACCTTATATATTTTTTAATACAAACCGTGCGCATTCCATGAAGGGAAGGAAAACCCTCACTCTATTTTTTTTTACGTGTTATTTTAACAACAAATGCATATAAAAAGAGAGATTGACTCAATATCCGAACTAATTGTTTTATAAAAGGTGTGAAATATACAGCCAACCAGCACATAACAGGAATTAAGTCCATTTCCGCATGAACGCACTCAATACACAGTTAAGAATATAGAGGGTGGAATGGTCCGTGCGATAACACGGGGTCATTCAACAAACCAAAACTATGCACAATTACGGCATTGTTTGATATTGCTTTAGAATAATACTTTTCACAAGTACTTATTTGATATTTTTTTTTTTAAAATTTGAACTACATGAATAAACTATGATATTTTTTTTTAATTGAACTTTTCTTAGTGTAAATACAAAGTATATCTTCACAGTCGGGTTGACCTTACTTTTGGGAAAGTAAACCCTTCCGATTTGACCGTTTACCATTGTGATCGTTACCAAAAGGGTAAAGTCTAAAGTAAAAAAAAAATGCATTGAATTGTGTTCCTAGTATATATGGGATTTACAATGTAATAAACTTGTTAAAAGCAAAAGATCTACAAAATATTCGGGGAACCCCCCCCCCCCCGCCTTATGGGAGGGGGAGACTCCCTCCCATCCCCACTTCACCCCCCCCGGCCCACGCACATGAACTTCTAAATTATCTTATTAACTATGGTCGCTTGCGAAAAAATATGCCTGCCCTCACTACATTATTGTCGCAACCACAGTTAGGATTACTTAAGGAATGTTTTCTCAGTATAGTGAATATTATTTTTAAATCAAAAATAATAAATCAAAAACTTTACAGATACGTAGGCATATTTCATGACGGTGCTAAGTGTATTAGTTTGGGTTTCTCTGTGTATGTTTTAATGCTAATTAAACACGAAGATGGTATTTAAATCGAAAAATATATCTTACGTTTGGTTGAGAATGCATAAGTACTAAATGACAAATCTTTTTTTTTTTTTTTACGTACAATTGTAATTTTTAATTAAGTCAAAACGTAGCTGCGACAAAATTATATATTTAATAGACAAGTTGCAATATGAAAACGGAGAGTGGTGGAACAAAACTCTTTCTGACACACACACCAATAGTAAACATCATTTTAAAACGATACAGAAATGATATTGACAATGATTGTCGATATATAAGAAACATTTTCTTGCCTTTTCTGCTGGAGAAAAAGGCTCGTCTCTGCACATACATTTTCTCCGATGTCGATAAGTAACGATGGATGACAATTTGTATTTTGAGGGTAAGTACATACTGTCGACAATACGAACAAGGCGACAAAACTTACCGCCATACGTTATTAAATTTGATGTTGAAGTACATGATGCCTATGACAGATTAAAAAAAAAGATGCAGAATTGTTAACAAATAAGCTCAGAAAGAAAGACCAAGGCAAATGTGTCGCGTAGGGAAGAATCTAATGCAATGTGATACTACTGTAATCTTTGTTTATAATAATGAAAGATAAATGCAATTAATTTTTAATACTGAAAAGATTTTTCGACATTTGACACAATATATAACTGACACATTTATGTGCTTCCTGGAGAGAAATACAGTTAAAACTATAGGTTAGTTTACCCATAATGAAGAGATATTTGGAGCGTTAAAATCAATTGAGTAGTTAAAAGGGATCTTGGAATATTTGCAGATACTGCTGAGAGATGATTATGGCGGAGGGTCAGTAACATCATCTGAAAGCATTACTTTACATACATTAAACAAAAAAGAGATGAAAAATAATATAGAAATTCCATTAAAAGAACAATGATTTTAACATATTTTTTGTCAATTATATATAACATTCTTCCTAGTAAGATAATAAAAATGGAATATATAGTACAAACATCATTCATTTATATTTTCCATCCAGTGAACCAAAATTGAGTAACACAAGAGTTAAACATTGATTACAAATGAATGAATTGTATCAGAAATGAGGTTTCTAAAAAAAAAAAATGAATGAATTGCATTTACAATAAAAGCGAAACAAATAGAGGGAAAAAAAAATCTGGAATTTGAAAAATAGAACTTGAATCGTTACAAATCTTAGTCTTCTTTAACTCCAATGGTTACTGTCGGATCATGCTACCAGGATTACTATTATTTATGATTATGCTGTACATACATGTATATATTTCAATCATTTATCTAAATGAACAATCTCTTTACTTTTATATCAAATGTATACACCACAATAATAAAGTCAGATTTTCTTACATTATTACTAAAACAGAAAACACTAGTTAATTGGAAAACCTGGGACACGGACAATAATGTAACTTATAATACTTCAAATAAGAAAGAACAAAATACACGAAACAATTAGATGACCTTTTCTTTGAATCATAAATATCGAGTTAACATCATGAAAAATTTCCTTTTTTGTCTGTTTATTTCAGATTGCTGTCCAAGTTAGATCCTTCAAAACAATATCAGGATTATTATTCCATTACATTTGTTCATTTACTAGCTCGTAAATCAAGTTTGAATTCGCCCGTGAATTAAAGAAAATTCAAAGGTCCATTGTAATGGGAAAAATACTAAACTTGTTAAGTGCTTAGTACGTTTTGTATAATGTAGGATGAAGTCAAAAAGCTATGATTGTGCTAGATTTCTTTATAAAGGCAGAACAAATCAATAGCTCATGGAAAATTCTAAATTCTGATATGGTTGAAATAGAGTTCAATCGCAAATTGATGGACACTGATACAAATTTCATTATTTTCTATTTCATAATATCTAATTTTGTTAATTAACAAAGAATTAACAAAATTAGATATTATGAAATAGAAAATAATGAAATTTGTATCAGTGTAAATATGCTGAAATTTTGGCATTAAAAAAATAAAAAAAGGAGAATGTCAGATATATGCTACAATGTATAAAGTAAACAAACAAGCACTGACTATTGTTAATTGAAATGATAAAACAAAATTACGCATTAAAAATAAAATGAAATGAAATTACCAAAAAAAACAAAAAACAAAAAAAAAAACAAAAACAAAAAAAAAAAAAAAACAAACAAACAAACAAAAAAACAGAATATGTAAGATAGGTGTATATATGTACTTCCAACTTTACAAATATGACTTTATCATGAAGAGAGAAATTTTTATGAAAAAAAGGAATTGTGTATAAATAGCTTAAGCGTGTTGAAAAAATGACAAAACAGTTTTAGAATTATGATTTATATTTGTATTTTAAGGCAAGATATTTAATATAACAATCTAATTATTTTTTTAACTTCTTAGATTTATGCCACATACACTCTGTGCAGTCTGATTTTAATCAAATTGGACTATTTAATATCCTTATTATTTAATTAATTTATTTATTGGGAGGGGTGGTATTTTTATTTTTTTAAGTCATTTTTTTTAAGATGTATATATATTTTTTTTAGAATGAATTTCTGTTTCCGTTTGTTGACTGTTCGAAAATTCACAATGTATTTAAAGATTATGACATGGGCATGACATTTTCTCTCTACGTATTGTTTAGTGAATTCTAACCACCGGTTCTTTATTTTCATTGTTTCTTGCACAATGGAATAAGATTCTTTGCATTTAAGGATACATAACACAAACAAAAATTTGATGCCTGGATTGATATATATTTTTTGACTGATTTTGAATAGAAATGACATAAATAATAAATACCTAAAATATAAAGAAATCGTAAGTTTTCTTTTGTGTTAAAATATGCGACTTTGTTTTGGTTTCTATATACATGTAATTCTATACAAAATTTTGCACGTATTTCTAACATTGTGACAAAATCTTACTAAATTCTCCCACTTTACATGGCAAACATTATTCAGGTTACCAACTTGCATATAAATCTTTGAAAAATATTGCAGACTTCAGAAAAAGTTTGTTTGTGTCATTTATCCTTAACTGATCAATGTTATTATTTTGTGTTTGCTAACTATATTCAACTCAGGGACCTTAGGATCATTGGCGCAGTTTAATAGAAAATATCTTAAGAAATTTTATGCCATCCTAAAAATAAATGTGCGATTTAAATAAGTCCCGAATAATAAAAAAAAAATCACTCATAATGATCGTTTTTGTTTTCGTTTTTTCTTCATGATAGATAGATATGCCAATCAATATCAAAGTTCCAAGTTCCAAGTCCTAAGTATTTAATATCCAAAGAAGAGTCGGGATCCGACCAGGAGAGAATTTCATTTCCATATAATATGTGACCACGCCCAAATCTTATGACGTCGTTATCCCACGTTACCCAGAAAGGAAGGAATTTACCACAATCAACACCTCCACTTCCACCACGTTTATGTTCTCCGCTTTTCCTGACGTAAGTCCACGTGTTATTTGATCCACCAATCACAATTTCATACGTCGCCATTTTTTTATTTGCGTTCATTTCAGTTTTGGATAAACCTATATGGGCATCCTTGCATCCTTTGATATCCACTTTCAAGTAAGATCGGTCTGTTCCCGTGATACCATAATCTGTAAGGCTGTAGTATGGGTTCAACTTATTTGCTGGTGTCGCGATATTTAAAACCGAGCTCGAGTTGAATTGCGGCGCTGAATTGCCTACAACAAAATGATTTTTTTTCTTGAATTATTATTAAGCCGATGATGCAATAGATTATTAAAGAGATACTTTTTTCTGTTTTCTTTTTATAAACTATATTTTGATATTAAGTTCAGTTTAAAAATAGCCAAAGAACTTATGTCAAGTTTCATAATACATTGCTTAAGAAAGATTTAAATTCAAGTTTATTTTTGATTATCCAACTTATACTTGATATTTTTTACTATATATTCCTATATGAACATTGTCAGATAAATATACAATGTAATTTTGCAAATCTAGCATCATGTATATTTTTCGTCAGAGTAAAAGTTTTCATTTGTTAATGAGTCATTTACATACGTTGTATCAACCGCATTTTTTTTTTTTTTTTTTTTTTTTTTTTTTTTTTTTTTTTTTGAAACAGGGTCCCTTTTCACAAAATATCTTAAAAAAATCCTTTTCTCTAACAAGTATATATTTAAACTGTATTTCTATTACATTAAATTTCAATTGCAAATATTTTAGAAAATGAAAATCTTTTACAAACAAAAAATTAAAATGGTGTCATATTTTTAAATCTTAGTCATAAGATTTTTTTTTTTTGTGAAAAAGCGCCACTGGACTTTTATTTAAAAATTGAATAGCTATCCATAAGTAGTAAAACAGAAGTAGGAATTAAAAGCAGCGGAAGTAATATAGGATTATATGTGCATTTATACCATCTTACCGATATAATAAGCATTCCATCCACTGCAGCAATGTTCACCATTGATATGACATATGTGATTTTCCTCGTGGTATAGAAATAGACGACAACTTTCATTTTTCAGGCAATGTCTTGCACACTGTACTGGCGACTGTGCTATCAATGTTTCTTCCTGTTGAATGGCGCAAATTCCTTCACAGATGTGCTGGAAAAAGCGGAAACAAGAAACAGTTTCTACCACATATAAAAGTAAAATTGTCCAAATTTTCATATCCTATTCCTTCCTTTTTTATATTTCTATGAATTCAAAGGCTTTATAGACAGTGGAATCATGCACATCTTTTATTTTTACAGTATCAAATCTTCTACAAGACAGGCTATTATATGTGAAGACAATTTTGTGATGTTTTTAGTATTGAAATATTGACAATGGTGTTTTAGGGATGAAAGTTAATGTGGTTCTAACATCAATTTCATAGGCTATTTAAAACATAATAAAATCTTCTCAAATTTACTGCAAAAATCCATAGACGGATGTTAACTGCATTGGAAAGGCAAAAATCAATACGATAACTTTTAAACAAATTACGGGTAATATTTTTACATGTCCCTATCAGATTTATTTCTATCTTGACTTTTTCCCGATTTTATGCTTTAATAGGACTATTGATTGATTTTCCCTATATTTTCTTGTTTTCTCACGATATGCGAAAGCTGATGTTTTATATTGGTAACATTTATTCTTTTATTTCTATTCAGCTGTCATCTATATCATCTACGAGATAAATATAAAAATGCCAATGTTAAGTTTAATCAAACAACAAATTTCTGTAAGAACAAAAGGTAATTTTACGTCAATTTGAACGAAAGAAAATAATGGTTACTTAAAGCAGACACGACTGTGTCTATTTATGAAGCATTTTTTAGTTTATCATGTCATGTCACTTTCCGGAACAACTGGCGTACCCGGCTTTCCGGCTACTTTCACCGCTTGCTATTCTTTTCAGTGGTGTGAAATAAATATGATCAAGTACGATCAATGCATAAGCTTTTAATCTGCTCTTACTTGAACATAGGAGATTGAGAGGTGTGGAAGCGGCAATTAAAGATACAAAATCAACTTGAGATATAGATAACTAAAGTTTTGGAGATCCTTTGTTTGTTTGTTTGTTGTTTAACGTCCATCTCGAAATTTTATTAATCATACGGAGACGCCACCACTTGCCGGAGGAGAGCTGCAACTTTTGATTGGAGATCCTTTTGCATAATTAAAATTCTAATATTCATGTGTCATTTTCTAATAAGTAGGCCTACTATCACTTGTTAAATTAATATAAGTTGAATGTTGAGTTGCAGTATTTTAATTTTGTAGGATTTCGTGGATCATTTATGGGTCTCTTTATACCTTAAAAATAGCAAATATTATATCTCACCAAAGATTAAACCATTGATAGTTAAATTTCGATCATTTTCTTTTTCTTAGTTTTTTTCCCCTTAAATTGATGCAATTTAATTCTTTTTAGTTTCTGTAAATTATTTAAATTAGCATCGAGAGCTAGGAAGTACTTTAATTTACAATAAGATTCTAGTTGAAAAACAGAGATATTGAATGCAAAGTTTTCCCTTATCTTTTGATGCTTCAAACTCAGGCCAAAAATTAAATCTATTCAAGAGAAATATGGAGTAATATCGCATTTGAAAGGTCAGATAGTTTAAACAATACAATGCAACTCTATGGCATTAACGTTTGCCTCTATTTTTTTTTTCTCTTTTTTTTAAATAACATATCCACTCGTTTGAAAGATTTCAATACAGTAACTATGTTGTACAATACAATATAGTGATTATGAATTATGAACTGCCTCTTTTTACATCGATCCCTTGCTTGTGAAAAATAAACACTAGTAGGTAAAATGAAAATCTGTCTTAAAGTTTTTAACAGTGGTATAAAATAATTTAAAGTTGATTTTTATGCCTCCGTAATCGAGGATTCCGGGGCATTTAATAATAGTTTTTGGCCTGTCTGTCCGCCTGTCTAGCTATTTGTCTGTCTGTCCTTAAAACATTAACCTTGCCCATAACTTTTGATTGGTTGGAGCTATGACTTTCATATTTCATATGTGAATCACATGTGACAAGACCCTTCTTAATGTAACATCACATTTGACCTTTTGACCTTGGCCGAGTTTGCAAAATTTTACCAAACTTTAATTCTGGCAATGACTTTTAAACAGTACTAGTAAGTGCTAAGGATTTCACACTTCTCATGTGAAATCCTTGTGATAGGGCATTGCTTACAACAACTTTGACCCTTTGGCCTCAACCCTGGAGTTTGACATACTTTTTTAGGAAAACTTAAACCTTGGCCATAACCTTTGAACAGTTGGTGCTAGGACTTTCATCCTTTACATGCGTACTCCTTGTGAAAAGATCTGAATTTGGATACTTACAACTTTGATCCTTTAACTTTGACCGTGATGTTTTACTTTTGAAAAAAAACTTTAACTTTGGCCATAACTATTGAATGAGTGGTTCTAAGGCTTTCATATTTCACATGTGTGAATCTTGTGAAAAGGCTTTTCATGGGCACCATTAATTTTGACCATTTGACCTTGACCTTCATGTTTGATTTACTTTTGAAAAAAGCTTTTAACTTTTCCGTATCTTTCCAATGCACAGGAAGAAACATGACCTTTCAGTTAAAACTGAAAGGAGACTTTCAGTGACTTTTCAGTAGCCATTCAGTCACTGAATCGCAGGTACATTTCAGTGACCTTTCACTTACCTTTCAGTCACAATTTAGATACTTTTCAGTCACCATTCAGCGGACACATTTCAGTTATCTTTCAGTGACCTTTCCGTCTTCTTTCATTGACCTTTCCGTCATCTTTCAGTGACCTTTCAGTTGCCATTCAACGACCTTTTCATCGGCTTTTTTTAGTTTATCGGTAATTAATCCTAAACAATTTTTGAATAAAATTATTCACATCTTTAAATGTTTTTTTTTCTTATTGTGTTAAAATTCAGATGCGTAGAGCTGGTAATGGTTAGATGTTCAATTGCCGATACATTGTTCACTAAAATGTGAAATTGTGATTATTAACTATAAGATTTAAAATAACTTCATTAATGATAAACGTGATGACTTTAACTTTTCAATCGTCAACTTTCTTACTTATGCAGCAATATACCTTCATCACCTGCATACGGGGTTTGTATCTCTCAGTTGATTCGATACGAAAGAGCATGCTCTACTTATGTACAATTTCTAAAACTAGGTAAATTATTGACAAACAAGTTTATGAAACAAGAATATCAGCAGTCTCGTTTAAAGTCATCATTTCGGACGTTCTATGGTCGATGCAATGACCTTGTCAAGAAATACAATATATCATTGAGTCAAATGCTGACTGACGGTTTTTATACTAAATGTTAGGTCATTATTATATATTACACACTGAAATGTCGACGGATTTTTCCGTTATTTCCGATTTAAAATCAATAAATTTGATTGATTGATTATTATTGTTTTACGCCGAGTCGGCAATATTTCAGCCATATTTTGAAGAAATCAAATCGGAACAATTAGTTCACCTGTTGTATTGAAAGGCTGTGCAATGTGTATGTATCTTGTATACATTTCGTATATTCTATGTTAATTGAGTGGATTTTTGGGGCAGATTGAAATAAGGCGAATCAGCTGAGAGATATAAACCCCCGATCAAGAGCACACGGCGGGTGTGAACGGTCGGCAGGGGATGCTCACTCCTCCTTGGCACCTGATCCCACCTCTGATGTTTTGGAGATCCATGTTTGCTTTGCTCGTATTTTGTATAGTTTTATGGACTTTTGAGCTTAAATACTGTCCGTTATCTCCATATATTTCATTAATATAAAAGATTATAAATCAAATATGGACTCATGAAATTCATAATGATTTTTAGTTTTTAGCATGAAAAATTGATTTAGCCAAAAAAATTATTATTATTGATGAAAAATAATTATCAAATATTAGTATCAGAATTTAATTAACGGACATAGAATTGTCTTTTTTTCTTTCTGTAAAATCTCTTAATCGATATTTTCACAAGCTTATTCAATTTAATAAGTTGTTAAATGAATAAACAATCAGTCATTTTGATTTTAAAAAAATGGAATATATCGTCAAATCGTCAAATTATAATTTTAAATCACTGAACTTAAAATAAAACGCAGTAGCATAATGGATAAGGTAGATAAGGTAACAGATTACCAAGCGGGAGGATGCGGTTTGATCCCAGCTTTGTGGAATATTATTTTTTCTTACATTCACTTTCTTATTTTTTTTTTATTCGAAAATAGATTAATTTAAAACCATTATAATAAGAAAACGTGAAAAAATATCATACGTTAATAAATAAGCAGAATATTCAATAAAAAGATACAACTGAAAGATAACTGAAAGGCCACTGAAATGTATCTGCCATTCAGTCGACTGAATGGTAACTAAAAGTCACTGGAAAGGATCTATTCAGTGACCTTTCAGTGACCATTCAGTGGGCATTCAGTTACCATTCCGTCGACTGAATGGTGTAATTTCATCCTGTGATGGTTACTGCTAGGGTTTTCACAGATATATTCCTCCAGACAAGACCTTACTATGTGTAGCAACATATTTGATCTGCATTTGAGAAATTTTAACCTTCAGTGTTTCACAAACATATCTTGTTTTCAAATAACATTTACATGTATTTTCTTTGCAAGATTGTCATCATATCATTGATATTTATCATTGATTAGTCACTTATTTTCTGGGTTAGAAAAGCAGAATTCATGACATTCATTTCTGATTTTTTTTTTATCCAAACCCAATTCAAATAATGGATCAAATAAAAATGACATATCTGAGTTTTTTTTATTTATATTGCTAAATGTCAAAGCTGATTTTCTTCCTTTCGTAGGTAGATTGATGATGATGATGATGATGGTGATGATGATGTTGTTGTTGATGATGATGATTTTTTATTATTATAACATGTATTTTCAAAAGCAAAAAATGATTGGACATACATGTACTACTCTTCGATGATTTGTATTCCAATTGTCAACATAAATTTCAGGGATAATCCATGGATATAATAATATTAGCTTGAGCAATCTTTGATGGTAATGAAATAATTAAATCAATACACAGTTGGAAATAGAATATTATATACGTAAGGAAGGCAGAAGACTTCTAGTCAGTGTATATGAAAACTAGGTAATTAAATTAATTTGCATAAATTAATGCAT